ATTAAGATCTACAGTTGTTGGCTTTGCACTGTACGTTTCATAAACCTTTCAGTGGTGGAAGCAGATGGGCCATCAGTAGCTCTCGGTTTGGTATGTGGGCCTTATTCGCAGTGGCGGATCCAGGACTTTAAGAGGGGGGGGGGGGGGGGGGGGTCATTTTTGCAAATCTCGGCACAACAATAACGTTCTCTTGCATCATCATTTTTCCCATGAGGCACATCACTGGCCTAGGGGCGCTCCTGATAAGAATAACCTATCCATCAAAAAGCGGACCTACCATACTTTTATTTATTTATTTTAAAAAATATAAAAAATCCAAGGTAGCAGCCGGTAAGGAGGGGGGGTTCAATTGCACCCAATGAACCCCCCCCCCTAAATCCGCCACAGATTCGGACCACACCGTTTACAAATCAATGTTTGGGGAGTTGACATTTAGTACCTGTATTGATCAATCGAATTTGATCATGTAATAAATGTATAAATTTCTTTTTCTTTATCTCGCGGATTAAAGTGTAAGAAGAGCCCCGCTATCTCTATGACGTATGTCACTAGCCTTACAAAAATTCCACACACGCAGTGCTACAATATGTTAGTGTGAGAGAATAGCAGCTTTATAAAGTTGCAACTTAGCACTAGTGGTTATCAGATTCCTTAACCTTCTTATAACCCCTACTCTTTGGCTAGCTTTCTTACACACGATACTTATATGATCAGAAAAATTTAGTTCTCTAACGATATTAACATCTAATAAGGTGATGTTATGATAGGATTCGATCTTTGTCCCATCAACTACTATTTCTATTTCGTTCTCATTCTTATTTCTGCTCATCAACATAGTCCCATATATGTTTCTTAAAGTTACCCCTAAGAAAATCTGAATCATACCAATAAGCCTTTTCATAGTTTAAGAATCGATTCCACTGCGCATGCGATTTTATCCCGAATTTCTCACTTTCTTTTGTCTAAACCTTCTTTTGTTCTTAATTAAACAAATGAAGGTGAGAAATTCGGGATAAAATCGCATGCGCAGTGGAATCGATTCTTAAACTATGAAAAGGCTTATTAGTTGCTTTAAGAGCGCATTCCTGTAAGTTAGCTTGAATAGTGTTAACATTGATTTCATAAAATTGATGATCATCTGCGTAGCTTTCTTTGGAGATCCCAATCTTCCGGAGCTTTGGTTTTATGAAATCGTCGAAGCGCTTTTTGCCTTGCCCTTATGGCTTCCTTCCATTCGGTTGTAATGTATGGAATATCACCATCTCTAGTGCGCATTTTCTTATGTGGTATATGTTCGTCAACAATCTCCTTTAACATGGAACTTATGAACCCAGACTGATTATCAGCATCATCGAAGACTTCAATAACATGCCATGGAGCAATGGCCAGGTCGTTTTTGGAATTCTTGTTCGTTCAAATTTTTATGTGAACGAAAGTTCACTGCTTTTGTTCTAAATCTTGCTACTCTTTCTCGCATGAAGGCATAAACTAGGGCATGATCACTGATCCAAGGGTCGAAAATGTCGCTTTTGATGAATAAATCTGGTTAATTAGTTAAAATTACATCTATAAAGGTCTTGCTCATCCGTTCTCCAATTTTCTGAATTCTCGTTGGTTTGGATGTGAGGCAGACGAGCTCATGAGTATCTTATAGGTCCATTAGTAATTTCCCTCCATTGCTCATCGGTTTAAGGCGATCTAACCCCAGGGGGGGGGGGGGGGGGGTACTGCCCTATATTTGCTATACGGAATGTGCCGCCCCATAGGGTATGGATTTTCGGCTTTTGGGTCTGGGGTAGGGTATCATTTTTTGACATTTTGTTTGGGATAGGGTATCATTTTAGTCTGGAATAGGGTCAACGATTTGGTCGTTTTTTGGTCGTCTGGCGAAAAGGCTACGCTTTCTGCCGGAACAAAAACAATAAAAACCGTAGTAAATATTGATTGCAATCTATTGAATAACCGTCATTTCCGTCATTTAGTCTGGGATAGGGTGTACTATTCTTACTTTTAGTCTGGGGTAGGGTATGTAAAATCAAAATTTTAGGTCTGGGATAGGGTCAGGGTTTTGAGGTCCTGGCGGCACACCCCTACCCAAGTTGGGGTGGTAGTACCCCCCGGGCGATCTAAGCTTGGTAATCAAAACGTACTGATTTATTTCCGGCAGACATGTTTCGGCGTCCTTACGCCTTACTAAGCTATTGTGAGGTTAACGACCCTACGGTTTATGGCTATATTACGAATTAAGAAAATAATTGGACAGTTACCTATATGGGATTAATGAGAAGCTGTATAATTACTGGTTTTACACCTCCATGGTTCTAGACACAAAAGCTGTCCAAGTATTGATGGGTTATGAAACAAGAAAGTATAGAGGGTAGGGGGAGTCAATTCATCATGACAAATTAATAGATACGTGTGTACCCCGGTGAAGTCTCATTCTCTCAAAAACACCATATTAACGTAAAGAGGTGGGGATCGAGTAAAAAGCGTGCAAACTTCTAAGAGCAAACCTTACTGCTCAGATTTCCACCAACTTGAAAATTTCAACTGATCAGCGTGCACGAATTTTTCTAAAGCACGTCCCAGTTACCCAAGACCGCCGAAAACGTAATAATCAGCGTTAAAATAGAACAAGAGAAGAAGATTTTAATAAGGAGAAGAATGTCTTTGAGGGCCACAAGTTCATCAGTTTACACTGTTACGTGTTTTATCCTCATGAAATAAAGTTGGTTATTATCATTATAAGAAGGACCTACGCACACTTTACAACACTGTGCGCACAATGTTGCAGGCAATGGGTGTTGCGAGCCATGTCACATGACGAAATTGCTCGCACGCATTATTTCTGAAGTAGAAAACGATGCCGTTTCAACAACACATTGCCTGCAATAACTCGCGCAATGTTACACACCGTGTGTCTGTMCCTTTAAGCAACACGGGAGATTTGCAGTTCTCGTTAAAAGCGCCACATATCTCGCTCGGTGTGAAGTCGTAGGTTTGATAGAGTTGCTTGTTCAGTTGGTCATTTCTCTCCTATTCCCCAATGGTTGTTTCTCTCCAGAACAAAACAAGTTTTAAAATGAGTTGATTCTTTCAATATTCTTGTCTTACAACGCAAACCGCAAGTATATAGCTAAACGGGCTATCATTTCATATTTCATATTTGTATGTCAGGAAGTGCAATGCTCCTCGAGATATTAAAAAAAGTGCAGTTTTCCCTAATAAAAAAGTCCTGGCTATATAAACAATAAAGTCCCCTATCAGATAATTTTGGATCTTAATAACGGAGCTCAAAGGAAGTGCCTGATAGCACACACTGACAAAACTAAAAATTGAGATTAGAAAAAGATAGTGCGCAGGCAACAGTTGAAATAATTTGGACAAGTATACGTATCCAAGACACATGAAGTAATATTCTCTTGTTTCAATTTAATAAAAATCGGTTAGTATTGAAATAATGTGACAGTCGTTTTCTTATGAAGCATTCTTTTCCATCAAATAAACGGCGCTTATCTGCTATCTCGATGTTATTATTGTATTTTTGTTTTTGTCCAGTGTTTAACCACTAGTTTTTGAATGAAAATTCCGGCTTTTAGGCTTATAATAGGCTTTTATAATGATATTATATAACTCATAATTCAAAGGCGGAAAATAAACTTTAGTTCATGGCGCACGGCGTGCAAAGTGAACTACATGATGAATTTGTTTGTCACAGGGGCAAAAATGTTCAAGTATTTTCTTTTAACTCTTGTCAAAACAAAATATTCTCCACCAACAACAAATAACAAAACTATTTCTAGAAGATATTTGGTATATCTTTCCACCGATTATTTTTATTTTCATTTATTTTCAAATACAATTTGCCGAAAACCTGGAACAGAGAAAATATTGAGCTTTGAGCAAAATGTTTGCTGATTGGCTAATTCGTTCTGGCTGAGAAAAGCGAAATCACCGGGTTGCTTGTTCAGTATCTCACTGACTGTCTTTCTGTTTGTTCGTTTTTCTGTTAATTTATCTGCTGTTTGTTTATTGGTTTGATTTCTTCGGCTGTTTATGTGCTTGTCAGTCTTCTTCTTTTTTGTGTGTGTCCTTCTGTTTGTCTGCCTCTTTGTTTTTTACTTTGATGAAGCTCTCCAGGATACTTTTCAAACGAAAAACTGAGAAATCTTTCTTGTTCCCGGAGCCTCAGTGCGCTAATAATTGTTCGCTAGCTGGCAATAGCGCAGCCTCTGGGAACGAAAATGAAAAAAGGAAATACGAAAATGAGTGGTCTTTTCATAGTTTACCGGAAGGGACCGCGGAGTATAATTTTGATTTTTGGGGAAGGGGGAGGGTGGCTAACGACCATCGAAGGCGGAAACCCACAACAAATTTATTGCATTGGCTATTGATATCTGAAATAGAAGTCCCCTGGTTTCCAATCGTATTTCATTAAAACTTGACGTTTATGTATGACCCTTTGTCTTCGCCGAACGCCGAACGCTTGCATTTAGAACGTTTATTATGTAAAGGGAGGAATATTAATTCCCTCTATACCGACTCTTATTAGCCTGATCACTTATTCTCACACCTAGTTATGGAAATAGCCATGGTGCCGTTAGTCCGGCTTAAACCTTACTTCTATACTTTGACTAAGCAGAATTTATCTACAATTCAATATTTCAGTAACTAGTGTGTTCACATGATTATATAACCTAAAAATCCCATCATTAAATTCTTCAAGTACCAATTTCAGAACGCATTCAATTCACTAAATTGACGGTAAGAACTACTAAAAAGAAACATAACAAAATCATAATAAAAGTAAGATAATTTACAAAGATCACTGCATAGAGGGCACACTAACATAACCTATTGGTTTGCGAACAAATTTGACGGTTGGTCTTACCTCTGTTTCAGTTATACCAGGGGCGCAGCCGAAGAAAAGCGATTTAACAATAGAGGTTGGGCTCCCTGTGCTCGAACTCATTGCGTGGGTTGCCTGTGCACTAAACTGAGAACACGAGACAACGTCACGTAGAACGAGATTTAAAATCAACGTGAATTTCCTTGTATTTTCTATGTAGTTGTGGACTATTTATGGCCGTTTACCACGACGAAGTTGAAATTGAAGATTTCGAATATGATGAAGAACTTGAGACTTATTTTTTTCCGTGTCCATGTGGCGATCAGTTCCAAATTACAAAGGTTTGTGGTAGGCAGCACAGTACTGTATGACCGCTTTTACTTTATCTCAAATTGTATTTTATTTTTATACCTTACCACCTTCTTAGGAGCAGTTAGAAAATGGCGAAGAAGTTGCTGTATGCCCCAGTTGTTCGCTTATAATAAAGGTCATTTACGATATGGTAGGTGCTTGAAGTATCGAGGACCAACTAGTGGTCTTTAGGACAAGATTTTAATCAGTAGAGATTCTAAAAAGCTAAAAAGAATGGATCTTGTGAGTAAAATTGAAGAATTCAAGGACATTTCTATTTCTAAACCCAATAAGCAACATATCTGCTGTATATGAAGTCACATATGTTGTATAGATTATATCCTTAAAGAACTTCGGGGAGGGGGGGGGGGGGCAATAAGGACTAAGGTGCCTTTTACATGGGGAAAATTTGTCCCAAGTAGAAGGGAAACCCTCTTCCCCAGGCTACCCTGAGCGAGGTAACTTTTTCCTACATGTATTTCTTTGTAAATTCATCTCGATTGTTAACATGAGATATTTTACTTTGCTTCGGCTAGAAGGGTCACCCTACTGGTAGGATTACCCTCTTTGCAAAAGAGAGTGACCCTGGAACCAGGGACAAATTTTCCCTATGTAACCACTTTAACTCACCTAACTGAGACCTTTTTTTGTTTGAGCATGAGTATCTTCATTGTTGGCTTGAGTAGGAGGGTTTCCATGCTACCAGAGAAAAGTTTTCTCTTCGTAAATGGCACCTTACAAATACATCTACACAGTTTCCYTTCCCTCTCCTTCAGCCTTTGGTACCCAGGGTACAGTCTCTTTGGTCTCAGGCCAAAAAAGTAAAGTAACAAGAAATATACATGTAAAGATTAGTTGTGAATCCAGGATTTTAAAATGGGGGATTCAAAAATAGCTGCCACTGAGAAAAAGCTGGCACGATTGGCCTCACAAACATGGGTAACCTGTTTAGTTTACTGAGTGTAGAAAAACATTATTGGCTTTACGAGAGCTTACAAAGGGGAGTTGAGTGGAACCCATGGGACCACCCCTTGAGCTACTGCTGAAGATTGAAATAATATAGATATGGGTATAGAAACTAAGTGCAGTGGCTCAAAATGGTTTTTATTGTTTTCAGGATGATTTCATGGTGACAGAAGAGGTTTCTGCTCCTTCGCCAGGCCTGGAGAAGGCCTGAAGGTAATTGATGTACAGCTGGTTCATAGCCAAGATACCATCATATTACCTGCCATGCAATAGTAATCACTCGAGCACAATATTGTTTTCATGGCATTATGCAAGAAATATTGATACACCATAGTAACTTGAGAAGAAACAAAGCAACAGCCAGCACAATTCATTTTAGAAGAAAAACAGAGAACATCTTTTTTCTTTGATTGTGTTTTGAATGAAGTGGACTAAAAAAATGAAAAAGGAATAAGTAGAGACTCAGTGGGAAGAGATCATTTAATTTGTGAGAGGCTTGATTTGGTTTATTCTTGGTGATGATTGCAACACAAAGATGTCTGCATATGATAATATAAGAGCATGCATGGATATTGGATTTACTTGCAAGAATCTTTCTGCAGTTTTCCAACATTTCTCTTTTTATGTTTGTATTAATTATTGCTTGATGGGTTAATTATTAGATATCTTTTTAACAAATGTTTCACAATGTTATGCCAAGTTAAGGGAAAAAATCAGAGTTTTTGGAGCCCAACTTTAACTTTACAAATTCCAAAATGAAAAAAAAMTCAATATATATAGTATTGATGGAATATTGGGACTTTTTTTAGAATTTCCTTTTTTTGTCTATACATACTGTGCTAATTATATTATCAATATTTGTTATCTAAATTGCAGATTTTAATATTTGAAAATATTATAAAATACAATGCAGAATGTAGAAATTAACCGTGATATTACTTTTAAGTATGTTTTTAGGAAAGTATTGTTTAACATTTTTAAAAGAAAATTCTACAAATTGATTAGCAATATTTTGTGAAAGTTTTTTAATAGAGTAGATTTTTATTTGCACGTTTCCAGTATGAGTCAATATTTGTATCCAAAACTACAGCAAAACTGATCATGAGTAATATTAATACATTATCAATTAGCCTCCTATGCAGACGATCTGGCTGTAACCTGTTTTTAATATCTGATTTATCATGTTTTTTTCCTTTACACTTTTTGGTTTGGCATTTCGGAAGAGACCAACAAAATTGAGGCTTTTTGGATCTGTGCACCTCCTTTAGTAACAGTACTGGCTATGCCCCTGGGATAGAAATATGTAAAAACATTCAATACTGCAATTCAGTTGCCTAATGCATTTGTGATATCAAAACAAACATAAGTTTGAAACACCCATGTGGTTGCTGAGGTGCCAGCTATGATGATGCCCTGGGTTCCACAGAGGCCCTCTTGCTCCGCCAGTACTTCTTAGTCGTATTGTTCATAATTGCAATAACAAAACATATGACCGTGAGAAGCACTGGAGTTAGAGAGCCTCTGGAACCCAGGTTAGTTAATGAGAAGTTTGGTGTATAAATGTTGGCTCAGTACAGAGCCGAGCATATTGTGGCTTAATTTTATACCTAGATTATATCAAAGGAAATTAAAACTCAAGTTGTCTTAAGTTAATTTTCTTGAGCTGATCTGAAATAGTGATGTAGAAATGACGTCATTGCAAAACTGAGGTGTCATGAAGCCTATAAAAATTAACCAGTGAAAAATAAAAACATGTCCACCATTTCATTTTAAGACTTAATGATTGTGTCACTGACATCAAGTGCTTATTAGAAAAGTGGTTTTCTTTGTTTGTTGGCCTGGAATTCTAGACCGTTTTCTCAAGGCTGCATGTGCACTCAAATTTAAGGAACTTGACGGGCCACAATACCAAAACGCAAGCTTTTTAAGTATTATCATGCAATGCCATGAAATTTTTTTCGATAAGAAATCATAAAATTAATTATTACTCTCCTCTTTAAATTTAACACTGGCTTCTCAATTTTACTGAATTTGCGTTTTTCAGTCTAATGTGGCCCATCAAGTTGGATGCGCACACAACCTTGAGAAAATGGTCTATTTCAAGAGGAAAAATGACATGGTTTTGAAAATTTTCTYGATCCTGATTAGCTAACATTTTTCCTCCGAACAGTTGGATAGTTAATAGAGGGGGGTGGGGGAATTGTAGTGCCCCGATAGTCCCCCTCTATTAACTTTGCTGACAATAAACATTTCTTGTATAATCCATGCCAATGCCCAAAACAAGAAACTACCATCTTAGATCTGTTAGATGCTTTGGGGTAATGTTTTCTCACTTACAACCAAAATCTTGGAAAGGACACATGGTCTGAAATAATACAATATTTTGCCCAAGATGAAGAGTTCTATTGCCCTACTGGAAAACTGGCGTTCTTGCATGGACGACATTGAAATTCAGCTTACTCTAGAAACATAATGTGCTTTACTTTATTCAAGAATAATTTACCAAATGCAAAGTCACAATTGGTGTTGCAGTCAACAAAAAGCAAGCATGCTGTACAAATTGTCTTAGGTCAACCTCAAAGCTTTACATTCAACTTTTTACACTTAAAATGTATTTACAATAAACCAGGTAAAGAATTTTATAGCTATCTACTAAACACTTGATCTACAGCAGCAAATATGGAGGTAATGGTTTCACATGTCATACCATGGATTATCCCATAAGGCACTTCTATTTGTTTGTGTTTACAGACATGAAGCTCATGTATATATACAAGGTGGGATATTCCACAGTGTATTATGAGAAAGCATTGTATAAAAAAACTTTATCTCATGCATAGAAAAATTTATTCTAATAAGCAAAAATATTATGTTCATGCAGTTTAGTCACATGGAATTTACAATGTTACAATTAAGACAGCAATAATAAGAAATTGTTGCTTAATATGAACATTTGTCCAAATTAATAAATTTAATGTTATACTTGTTTCCCAACTTGTTTCCAGCCAGGCATATGTTTTTACCATGAAACATTATAAGAGGAAAGAACAAAATCTGTGACATAAAACATTTAAATAGTATTTACATATTCAATCTGGTGTTTCTATACATATAATAGGTACAACTGGTTTAGTTTGATGTTCTAGCACTACAGGTTTACGACGAACGTCCCCCGATTGTCCTTCCTGTTTGTGTACAAAAATACTCTCTGGAAAGTTACAAGAGATATTTCCGTATTCCTGAAGACAAGGACATAGAGCAAGCAAAAACTCACAGAAGTTTTTTCTCATACCAAACCACCCTGAAACAAGAAAGAAATCAATGACTAAACATAGATTTTTCCTTTCTTAGGCTGTGTTCTTAATGTATACCGCAGGGGGGGGGGGGGGGGGGG